AATATTAATAAAAAATTTACAACAATAGTGGACAAAATTATAACATCAATAAAAACTTTACTACAATAATGAGCAAAATTACTATAATAGTGAGCAATTTTTAACCCCCATTTGAATACCATAAGTATATTTAGTAGGTTTGTGATCCATCACTTATATTGATTGATCGATTAGTGGAAAAATTATAACATAAGTAGAAAAATTTATAACAGCAGCGAACAAATTTACAACATCAACTTAAGTGTGTTGTTATTTATAAGGTGAGAGGTTCTAAATGTACACTAACCATAAGAGTTTGAAATATATTTTCACTCAAAAAGATCTAAATTTTCAACAGCGACAATGGATTGAGTACTTGGAAGATTATGGGTCTGTTTGGTTTGCGTTTCAAAAAATAGTATTTAAAAACAGTTTTTGAGAAGAGATTTAAGAAAGTGGTTTTGATATTTTTTGAAATAAAAAATTTGTTTGGTTAGATGATTTCAAAAACAATTTTACAATACAGAAAATAGTAAAACTTGTTTGAACAGACTAAATATATATTTAAACAGTAATTCAAACATTAATAAAAAAATATAAAAAAAATTATTTTTAGATTGACAAATTCATAAAAAAAAAATTCAATAAACCAAACTTTAATATACTTGTTTTCAAATAAAACTCTGAAAACAAGCTACACTTGTTTTCTATTTTTTTGACTCAAATTTTATTTTTTTTTCCAAAATTTAGAGAACAAAATGCTAAACAAACAGGTTTTGGATATTTTTGAAATTTCGAGAACAAAAAACTGTTTCCGAGATGATAATCAAACATGACCTATGTTTTTTATTACACTATCATCCTTGGACGGCCAATGTTATAGCTGATGCTTTAAGAGGAAGATGGAGGGAGCACTAAATAATTTAAATTTGGAGAATTCGAAAATGATGGAAACCTTGGGAGAATGTGATCTTTGGGTTGGAAAGGAAGAGGTGGTACCTCGATTGTTTAACTTAGCTATTCAATCAAGTCTACACTAGAAGATTATTGTAGCAGAAAAGGAGGACCCGAGTTTGCAACAAGTATGTCAATCACTAACAAACAAATGGAAGGATGGGGTTAACATGATAAAGGGTGAAATATAACGGAAGATTATTTGTACCTAACCATGAGCAACTTAAACAGGAAATTCTCGAAGAATGTCATTGATCAAAGTTCACTGTACATCTTGTGTCATTGTACAAGGACACGGAACGACAATGTCGGTGGAAGGGCATAAAAAGGGGCATCGCCAAGTTTATTGCTCGAAGCTCAACATGTTAGCAAGTGAGAGTGGAACATCAAAGGCCAAGGGGAATGCTACAACCTCAACCCATTCCTGAATGAAAGTGGGGAACACGTTACCATGGACTTTATGATATGATTCCCAAGGACAGCTAGGGGATACTAATTAACCCTAAAAAGTGCGGAATTTTCGCGCCAATAACCATGATTTTGCTATCTTTTTACGGTTTACTTCCTCAAGTTCTATTGTTCTCTTATTATATGTTGATGATATAATTATTACCGGTGATGATACTATTGACATATGCTTATTGAAAACCTAGTTGTAGGACCATTTTGAGATGGAAGATTTGGGACAACTTAGATATTTTTTGGGCATTGAGATTGCTTCCTCTCCTAAAGGATATCTTCTTTCTCAGTCAAAGTATACTTTAGATGTTATTGAACAAGCACGTTTATCAGATAATTGGACAGTTGAAACACCTTTAGAGCTCAATGTTTGTCATTCTTCGTCTTATGGTACTCCCTTGTCTGACCCGATCCCTCTATCCGACTATTGTTGGGAGTTTAGTATATCTTACAGTCACTCGTCCCGATATCTTTTATGTTGTTTACATTGTGAGTCAATTTATTGCCTCACCCACCCCTGTTCATTGGGCTGATGTTCTTCACATTCTTCAGCATCTCCGTGATACTCTACATCAGAGTTTATTATTCCCTCGCTTTTTTTCTATGGAACTCAGGACTTACTCTGATGCTGACTGGGCTGTTGACTCATGGATCGCAAGTCCACCACTAATTTCTGCCTGTTTTTTGAAAATTCTCTTATTTCTTGGAAAAACAAGAAACAAACTATTGTTTCTCGTTCCTCTGCTGAAGCTGTATATCGTGTTATGACATCTACTATAGGTGAGATAGTTTGGTTACGAAGGCTTCTTGCTGATTTTGGCATTTTAGTATCTTCTCCTACTTCTATGTTCTACAACAACACCAGTACTATTCAGATTGCTTATAACTCGATCTTCTATGAGTACACAAAACACATTGAAATTGATTGTCACTTTGTGCGCCATCATCTGCAGCAAGGTACCATCATTCTCCCCTTTCTTCTTTCCACAATGTAGATAGCGAATTTTTTTACGAAGTCTCACACTATAGCACGTTTTAGATTTCTTCTTAACAAACTCTTGATGTTCTCTACCACATCATGAGTTTGAGAGGGGGTGTTAGACTATTAATATTAAGGGTAGTTTAGGTATTTTCTTTATGTTGTGTTGTCCTACTATATAAGACATACTTTGTGTATTCTAGGTTAAGCTGTAAATTACAGACTTCTTTTATGAATAATATTCTCGACTTCTCTCTTTCTTTTTTTTACGTTTGATTAATCTTAACAACAGTAACATAAATAATAAAATGGTAAAAAATAAAAACTAGTAACATAGAATATTTAAACACAAAAAATAATAGCATTTAAAAATAAAAATAATAATATTTAAATCGAAAATAAATAATATATATAGAGAGAGCGTATTAGTTGTTATTTGAATTTGAATTTCAAATTTATGTAAAAAATTTTAGTGGCATATATTCATTGACAGTGAATTAAGGAATAACAATTTTCAAATTAGAGTTTTAAAAAAATAATAGATATAACAACTTATTAATTCCTTAACGGAAACTTGGCCTCAATTTTCACTGTTAAAGGGATTACTTTTGGATAGGGTTGGGCTGTTTAATCCAAATCGCTCCAATCCTTCAGTCAAACACGCCCACTATTACTCCATAGTTAGCCGTCGTTGATTGCATCAATGGTTTATAGGAGTGAATCGTATCTATTAACCAATCCATTTGTCACACTAGTATTCAGTTCCTTGTTGTAGGTACATAGATATCAATGGCGACCAGTCTGAGGAGATTTGGAAGATTGGTTTTAATGTCATGTAAGAAGGGTCAGAGGAGGAGCAATCAGAGGGGATTCTCAGCGACGACGTCGACCACCGATGAAAACAGTTTCCAACAGAGTGGGACTAAGTCTATAAACCTCTTTTCTGCAATTAATCAAGCCCTTCACATCGCCTTAGAAACTGATCCTCGGTGAGTTTCTTCATTTATGCCTTATATAATCGCGTGTCCGTATGTGATTAAAGAGTCGAATTTGTAGATCTTGGATGGTAATTTGAACTGGGTTTTGTCTGAATTGATGCAGTGAACTTAATTTTGTATAGTTGATTTTCTTTGTCCTGATAAGAAAGACGGAAGCTTCACGTTTTAATAAATGTAGGCAATTCGAGGTGATTACATTTCGAGTTAAAGGGTTACTAACATACTATGACTTTAAAATTTGATACATGGAGAACCCAGAACATGCGGTTAATGACTCCTCAATGTGACAATGTTGGTAATTGGCCGAGGGAAATGGAAAGGGAAGTGCGTACTAGACATACCATTTTTGTCTAGCCCAAAAAAGAAAAGCGAAAGTGTTGAACACTGTTTGTTTATGCTGAGAGAGAGAGAGAGAGAGAGAGAGAGAGAGAGAGAGAGAGAGAGAGAGAGATATAATATATATACTCATGCCGTAACATAATGTATATACTCATGCCGTAGCACAAAAAACATGCCAATTCGAAAAGTGAGAGTTCATCAGAAAAACTTTCGGTGCCTGAGGTACGGTTAGTAATAAGGAGATATAATGTCATTTCATGTTCGTGTCAAAAACCACTCAACCCTAATACGACCGACATGATTACTTGGTTAATCATGTCAAACAGCCAGAGACGAACACGACTCACTTGTGCCATGATTAACCCAAATATGACCTGTGTGACATGTTTAATGAAAAGGTTGTGTCCGGTTTGACATGACCCGCAATAGTACATGAGTCCCATTTGGGATATAACACGACTAACATAACATGATCAACACTACTAACACAACTTATTTAACATGTTTATCTGACTTAAACCTATTCCACCCAAATAAATTCCTATTTTTAATCCAAATAATCCTTTCCTAAAAATTACTAAATGAAAAGTAAAAATTACGTGTGTTTGCTCTTTCTCACTTACTCTTTTTACTTTGTATCATCTTTGTTAACTCACACACGTAATATCATTCTCATTCCATTGACAATTATCACACATAATATCATTCTCATCCCATTGACAACTATCATATAGGTTAATTAATTTCACAATTAGTGAAATTGAACTTTTAATTGAGACTTTGCCTTTTAAACCTAATTCACCCCCTCTTATGTTGTACTTTGAGCGAACAATTGGTATCAGAGTGAGGACTCTAAGCAAAGTGTGTAACAACATTTAGAGTAAAAAGATCATGCAACTCTAGGAGAAAACATTGTTGAAGGACAATCTATTTCTAGACCAACATTTTTCAATGGCAATGACTATGCATATTGGAAAGGTAGAATGAAAATATACATCATGTCTTAAGATGATGCACTATGGGATACTATTGAAGAAGGATACACTAAGCCCATTAGTGATAAGAAAATATGGGCTAGTGATGAGAATAAGACACACTAATAATGTCATGACAATGAATACACTCTATTGTGCACTAGATAGAAGTGAATTTAATCGTGTTTCTACTTGTGAAACAACTAATCAAATATGACACATGCTAGAAGTAACACAAAGGAACTAGTAGAGTGAAAGGATCTATGATAAATATGCTTGTGTATAATTATGAGCTTTTCAAAATGGATCCTCATGAAAGCATATCTTAAATATTTACACGTTTTACTAACATTATCAATGCACTTAAATCTCTTAGTAAATCTTAGTAAAACAAATATTTAGGTGTCTTCCAAGATCTTAAGATGCCAAAGTGATCGCTATCATTGAAGCAAATGATCTCAAGGCTCTTCCTTTGGGAGAGCTTCTTGGCTCTCTCATGGAGTATTAAAAGAGATGAGGAGCCAGAGAAGAACGAAAAAAAAAACNTCATGCCGTAGCACAAAAAACATGCCAATTCGAAAAGTGAGAGTTCATCAGAAAAACTTTCGGTGCCTGAGGTACGGTTAGTAATAAGGAGATATAATGTCATTTCATGTTCGTGTCAAAAACCACTCAACCCTAATACGACCGACATGATTACTTGGTTAATCATGTCAAACAGCCAGAGACGAACACGACTCACTTGTGCCATGATTAACCCAAATATGACCTGTGTGACATGTTTAATGAAAAGGTTGTGTCCGGTTTGACATGACCCGCAATAGTACATGAGTCCCATTTGGGATATAACACGACTAACATAACATGATCAACACTACTAACACAACTTATTTAACATGTTTATCTGACTTAAACCTATTCCACCCAAATAAATTCCTATTTTTAATCCAAATAATCCTTTCCTAAAAATTACTAAATGAAAAGTAAAAATTACGTGTGTTTGCTCTTTCTCACTTACTCTTTTTACTTTGTATCATCTTTGTTAACTCACACACGTAATATCATTCTCATTCCATTGACAATTATCACACATAATATCATTCTCATCCCATTGACAACTATCATATAGGTTAATTAATTTCACAATTAGTGAAATTGAACTTTTAATTGAGACTTTGCCTTTTAAACCTAATTCACCCGCTCTTATGTTGTACTTTGAGCGAACAATTGGTATCAGAGTGAGGACTCTAAGCAAAGTGTGTAACAACATTTAGAGTAAAAAGATCATGCAACTCTAGGAGAAAACATTGTTGAAGGACAATCTATTTCTAGACCAACATTTTTCAATGGCAATGACTATGCATATTGGAAAGGTAGAATGAAAATATACATCATGTCTTAAGATGATGCACTATGGGATACTATTGAAGAAGGATACACTAAGCCCATTAGTGATAAGAAAATATGGGCTAGTGATGAGAATAAGACACACTAATAATGTCATGACAATGAATACACTCTATTGTGCACTAGATAGAAGTGAATTTAATCGTGTTTCTACTTGTGAAACAACTAATCAAATATGACACATGCTAGAAGTAACACAAAGGAACTAGTAGAGTGAAAGGATCTACGATAAATATGCTTGTGTATAATTATGAGCTTTTTAAAATGGATCCTCATGAAAGCATATCTTAAATATTTACACGTTTTACTAACATTATCAATGCACTTAAATCTCTTAGTAAATCTTAGTAAAAAAAATATTTAGGTGTCTTCCAAGATCTTAAGATGCCAAAGTGATCGCTATCATTGAAGCAAATGATCTCAAGGCTCTTCCTTTGGGAGAGCTTCTTGGCTCTCTCATGGAGTATTAAAAGAGATGAGGAGCCAGAGAAGAACGAAAAAAAAAACATTGCCTTCAAATCTACCAATGCTTCAAATGAAAAAAAAAATAAAGAGAGGGAAGAAAGTGATGAAGAACTTGCCTTCATCACAAGAAAGTTCAATAGATTTCTCAAGAATCAAGGCCTCTACAAGAAAAGAGAATATTCAAGAAAAAGTGGGGTGATTTGCTATGAATGCAACAAGCCGGGGCACATCAAGCAAGATTATCCCACATTGAAGAAATCCTACAAGAAGGACAAGAAGGTTGCTATAAAGGCAACTTGGAGTGATAGTTAGTGATAGCGATTCGGATCACGAAGAGATCAAAGAAACGTCAAATCTTTGCATCATGGCTATGGTAGAAAGTGATGAGGTAAACTCTAAATCACAAGAAGAAAATGAGCTTTATATGAATGAAATGTATGATGCCATGCTTGAGTTGCATAATGACTTACTAAGTTACTTGACATCACCAAAAGGTATAAGGAGCTAAAAAAAAAAAAACTTGTCACTCTTTCAAAAGAAAATAAAATTTTAAAAATTGAGAATGAAAAATTTAAAGTTCAAAAAGTTAATTTGAAAAAAGAATCACCAGACTCTTCCTTAGTTGATAAGCTCAAAGAGGAAAGCAATGTTTTAAAAGGAAAAATTGTGATTTAAACAAGATTGTTTCTAATTTCACTAAAGGAAGTGAAAAATTGGAAAATTTTTTATCAAGCCAAAGGTGTGTGTTTGATAAAGCCGGATTGGGTCTTAACAATCACTCTAGCCAAAATGCTTATAAGAATTTCTTTATTAAATTATCAAAGTCAAAAGGAATACTAAAACATGCAATCTATAATATAAAATATGACAAACTTCAGTAAGTCTATCCGCCGATTTCAAATAGACTCATTCAACGACCACTAAGATACCTTTCAAAACCATTCACATTGAATTCTCCTCCCCCCCAAAAAAAAATCCATTACTTCTCTGTGCCTTTAAGTATGGGTTACCCTTAGTTATTGCCATAAAGTAGGATATCTTGCATACAATTACTATGCTAGGAGATCACATGAAAATAGAAACATGCATAAAATATTCTCTAACTTTGAAGGACCCAAAACCAAATGGGTACCAAAGATCAATGTTTAACTCAATTGTATAAGTGTGTTTCAAGTCCACTCACAATACCTACATGTGGTTTATTGATAGTGAATGCTCAAGACACATGACGATTGATATAACAAAATTTGCTTAACTATCAAATGAGGAGGGTATATATGTTACCTTTGGAGACAGTGCCAAAGGTAAAACCATTAGAATTGGTAATGTTGGTAAGAAATCTTCCCTCTAAATTGAAAGTGTGTTGTTGGTTAATGACTTGAAGGATAACCTACTTAGTCTTAGTCAATTATGTGATAAGGGTTATCAAATCATTTTTGAAGCAAACACTTGCAAAGTAGAAAACATAATAGACANAAGAGAGGGAAGAAAGTGATGAAGAACTTGCCTTCATCACAAGAAAGTTCAATAGATTTCTCAAGAATCAAGGCCTCTACAAGAAAAGAGAATATTCAAGAAAAAGTGGGGTGATTTGCTATGAATGCAACAAGCCGGGGCACATCAAGCAAGATTATCCCACATTGAAGAAATCCTACAAGAAGGACAAGAAGGTTGCTATAAAGGCAACTTGGAGTGATAGTTAGTGATAGCGATTCGGATCACGAAGAGATCAAAGAAACGTCAAATCTTTGCATCATGGCTATGGTAGAAAGTGATGAGGTAAACTCTAAATCACAAGAAGAAAATGAGCTTTATATGAATGAAATGTATGATGCCATGCTTGAGTTGCATAATGACTTACTAAGTTACTTGACATCACCAAAAGGTATAAGGAGCTAAAAAAAAAAAAACTTGTCACTCTTTCAAAAGAAAATAAA